GAAAATTTGGAGCCGTTCACAAAACGAACGTCCAATCAGCGTTGGCTTTGAGGCGGGTTGAGGTGTGACGCAACAAGAAGCGCGACAGTTCAGTCTAAAGAACATGGCGGCTTCAGCCCATGAAACTAGCGTTAGCATGGCTATCGAGCAAGTTTTATCGGAATTACAGAGTATTTCTTCACTGAAAGAAGAGCAAAACACTGCTCTGGAGGCTTTTCTCAGGGGAAAAGATGTTTTTGCTCTTCTCCCGACTTTTTTCAGCAAGAGTAGCCTGGCTTGTGGTTGTGTATTCGTCGTCGGCCTTTTAGTACGTCATATGCTTCGTTGATCTGATTGGTTTATTTGGCCCGTCTATCACCAACATAGGCCAATCAGCTAACCAGTATTTTCGCCCCTTCCCAAAATTACTTCAACGGAAGGTTTCCAGATGGATATGCGGAGCAAATCCATCTGGCGGAGTCAGGTTTACTCTGACCTGCTCACCTGTCACCAGTTATCTGATGATTTCACACAATGTCTCCATGGAGGTTCAGGGTAAATCTGGCAGCAGAATTCCAGACTGTTAAAAAACCCTGAATACATAATAAGATCGATGTTCAGCTCTGATATCAGCGATCAGATAGAAGCACCTCGTTGGAAACAATGAAGAACCAAATCCAGACGTTGAATAAAACAGGTGAAACATCAGAGAATCTCTAAAGGTTCAGAAGATCAGCAGCAGATTAAAGCGGGGGTGGGGTGGGGTGGGGGGGTGCTTAGGATGGTCAGCAGCGTTTGATCATAGTGACTCCATGCTGCCTGATCCCTTTTGGTTTCTGTAAAGGATCCAGTTCTTTCATTTTAGCTGTAAACTTGAATCCAAATTTAGCTCTAAAGGAGGAAGGAAGGAGTGGATTCCAGTTCCCCATCACCCAGACATCTTCCTCAAAGCTTCTCTCTGTCTTTATCTTCTTCTCGTCTGCAGTTGATTTGCACTGAGCAGCCAGAGTTTCTGCTCAAACTTTGACCATCCACTGCTGAAAAAGCTCAGAGAGAGAAACTGTCCGTAAGCCAGCAGAGCTCCCTGGTCCCACGCTGGGTGTCATATACTCGAAAGTTTACTTAGTCCATTAAAACTAAATGGAAACATGGCAGAAAGGAGAACGTTTCATTCTGAACCATTGTTAGTCTGCATGAGGTGTTTTTCTACAGTCTGCAAGGCTCTTTGGAAAAACAGATAAGCACTGAACCTACTGCTTGACCGTCCGTCCGTCCATCTGTCTGTCTGTGTGTCTGTCTGTTTATCTGTCTGTCTGTCTGTGTATCTGTCTGTCTGTCTGTGTATCTGTCTGTCTGTCTATCTGTGAACAGGAGTCAGAGTCATATATAGAGACTTGTAGCTCCGCCTACTGCAGCACCGGCCTCCATCCAGCTGAGGGTCGCTCCACCTCTCCTGAAGGACTGCTGTTGGTGCTGCAGTCGGCATGGAGCCTGGTCTCTATGTAGGGCTCTGCCTGTCTGCACTGAATGGTCTGTCTTTGTTTTTAGCTCATGCTGCTTCTTTGTTTTGCTTCTCGTTTTGGTTTGAGGGATGGATGCATGGAGCAAACCACCACAGCACAGGAATGTTCCCACCATAATCCACCTTAACATGTATTGATGAAAGCTGCTCTACTGGGTGTGTGTGTGTGTGTGGAGGGAGCAGAGCTGCTCTGATTCAGCATGACCTGGCTGCCTCAATGTGATGGGCGTGGCGCCCTGGCTGCACCTTTCAACCAATCACCTTCTTCTTCTAATAATCTGATCAGTAACTCTCCTCTGAGCTCTCTGTGATGTCACTCTTCTGTTTTGCAGTTTATGTCATTAGTTTTATTATCCTGCAGCTACCTCACCATCATCATCCTCAGAGTAGCCCCTCTGCTTCGTACTCCTTGCATGGCTGCAGAGCGTCATGTGCATGCGTGAATGCGTGCAAAAGAAGATGCTGATGCTGCTAGAGACGGCTCTTTAACATAATGACAGACAGCTGGATGATGCATGCAGACATCAGCCACCCAGCTACGCCTGGAAAAAAGACAGCTTACTCACTGCTGCATGCTTTTCTGCTCCGACAGTTTGCTTTATTTATCTGATTCCACATGAACTAACTGGGACCATCCTGCTTCTTCTTCGTTGGTGCCTAGCATCTTGCTCCCTGCATGCATGTGGTGCGACTGTCTCCCCACCCTGATGCTCACGCTCAGCGCGCCTGGATGAAGCTTCTGTGATGGTGGCAGCTCAGTCCCTCTGTCTCCTGCTGCCTGATTGATGTGTGAGAACTGACAGACCTGTCATCATTCAGCTCAGTTTTTCTTTCTTTTTTCCACATTTTCGCTCTTTTGAGATACGGGATCAGGTGGTCAACAAGTCTTTACCATCAAGGTTCAAATTATTTAAAAATCCAAACTAAAAGCTTCCTTATAAAATATGAAATATGTCAAACTGAAGCTAAATGTTTTAAGAATATTTTTGTGAGCAACAAATATGCCCCATAGATATACATTTATAGACAGAACAAACTGAAAATTTCCATTTTCTTTATGAATCTAAATATTATTTTATTATTGGACATCAGTCGTTGTTGAACTCGAGCTCTTTAGTCCACCGTTCATTGTTGCAGGTGCTGCATGCATGGATTAGCATGCTAGCGGTACTTAGCCTAGTCACATTCTATCATTACACATTTCTATGTCAGCAGCTCCCGCTGGTTGCAAACAAAGATTAAATGATGGCACTCTTCTGGCTTATCTATATTATTCCTGTGTTTCATTTTGTTCTTATTCCATTTATTGGTTAATAACATTTTTAAGTTTTAAGTTTAAACAGGAGAATACACTATGAGAGCAACACCCAGCACAGGCGTGAAAGAAGGAGGAAAACTAGAAGATCAAGTGTGAAATGATATCTAGCAGACATGGCAGAAGAGCTCAGAATAGAAGGTGAACTGTGACGTTCACTGAAGCTGCAGGTTGTTGGATGTGTGAGCGACTATCGCCAGCAGATGGCGATGGCGAACAGCAGCCTTTAGGTCTACAGGTCATTTTTCATATATCTGCATTCATAACAATAATTGAACTTTATTGATCCAACTTGGAGAAATTTCCCTCCCCATCCTCTTGGGGAGCAGTGGGCTGCCATTGTGCGGCGCCTGGGGAGCAATCGGGGGTTAGGGGTCTTGCGCAGAGAGCCAGAGTGGCAGGCTGTGGGAGTGGGTTTAAACTCACAACCTCGGGATTCCAATCCCTTTGCCCTGAGCACTACGCCACCACTCCCCTTATTCCTAAATGGCCTAAATCACTTTATTTTAACATGAACATGAGGTCAGGACCCAATCCGTACCAGAGCACGATCGTGAGACGGTAGTGAGAAGTTCAACATCCGTTCTTTGCCTGCTTTGTGTGTCAACTGTCATGGTTGCTAGGTGACAAAGCGTACAGGCGGTGAAATCCATAGAAGGCTGGACCTGATTAAATCCATAGTCAAACTCTTCCAGCCTCCTTATATTCAAGAACCTCCATGGATCCAGTCCAGATAGACTGGGTCCTGGGAGGATCCAGTCCAGGTAGACCGGGTCCTGGGAGGATCCAGTCCAGGTAGACCGGGTCCTGGGAGGATCCAGTCCAGATAGACCGGGTCCTGGGAGGATCCAGTCCAGGTAGACCGGGTCCTGGGAGGATCCAGTCCAGGTAGACCGGGTCCTTGGAGGATCCAGTCCAGGTAGACCGGGTCCTGGGAGGATCCAGTCCAGGTAGACCGGGTCCTTGGAGGATCCAGTCCAGATAGACCGGGTCCTGGGAGGATCCAGTCCAGATAGACCGGGTCCTGGGAGGATCCAGTCCAGGTAGACCGGGTCCTGGGAGGATCCAGTCCAGATAGACCGGGTCCTTGGAGGATCCAGTCCAGGTAGACCGGGTCCTGGGAGGATCCAGTCCAGATAGACCGGGTCCTGGGAGGATCCAGTCCAGGTAGAACGGGTCCTTGGACGATCCAGTCCAGTTAGACCGGGTCTTTGGCGGATCAAGGTATGTTTGAAAAATTGCAGACATCCATCTATTTTCCATCAGGGGGGTGCTGGTGCCGATCGGCAGCTGTCCATGGGCGAGAGGTGGGGTCCGCCCTGGACAGGCCACCAGTCCATCGATGCAAACAGCCACTTAAACAGAGCGAGCACAAGGAGAAATGGACTCCTGCACGCTCTGGAACGTGTTTAATAGGCGTTGGCTCTGGGAGCGGCTGCAGGGTTGTGCATGTACATTTTTCTTTTACAGTGGAGATGCGGCTTTTAAAAAATTTACAAAATTCCTCCACTATACCTTTAAATATAATGACAGTGATTTCAGAATCACTTTTATTAGCTTTATATCGACACTTTCACCTCATAAAAAGCAAGAAAACTAAAGAATAATCATAATCCTGTTTTTATAGTATAATAAAGTGCATCAAATAAAACAACTGGAAGCTTCAATCTTTATTTAAAGATTTAACTATAGATATTTACAACATAGATGGTGAAGAACTTCTCAGTTCAATTGAAGAATGTTGTAATTTAATGTTTCTTTTTATTTATCAATTGGATGTTGCGGAGGAAATGTCATTTTCCTGAGTTATTTAAAATGAAAAACTAGAAACACCTTTTATACTTATTGTTCTATATTTAATCCCTCTGCATTTCTATCAGATGTAACTCTATGTTTGCAAAAGCTTCAATAACAATTTAGAAAATTAGAAATTAGTTCCATTATTATCAGATTTCCTGTTTGACGCTGTTGTAAACCAGATGAAACCTCATTGGAAGACCTTGTGACCTTTGCTGACCTGTGTCCAACTGGTCCTCCGTGTCCACCTGTCCGTCTTTCCGTCTGTCTCCTGGAGGAAACGAGTCGGTCTGTTTCTGGGTTTCCCTCGCCTCCTTTTCTGGGCCCTTATATCTGACTCTCTCCTTGTTTCTCCCTCTTTCCCTCATGTTTGTTCACCCCCGGCAGATGCGAGTGGTGAAAGCCTTCCGTAGCTCGCTGTACGAGAGCCGGGAGAAGCCGGAATCCCGCAACTCTATCCATAACTTCATGGCCCACCCAGAGTTCCTCATCAACGACCTCATCCATAACATCCCGCTGATCGACGACACTGACGTGGACGACGAATCAGAGCTCAGCAGATACCAGCACCTGCACCCGGCCCTCCGCAAACCGCCGCCTCCTCCGGCCCAGCCCCCGGCCCGCACCAGGCCGACCCGGCCCTACCGCCAGCACAGCCTTCCAGTGACCCCGTGTAACCGGAACAACAACAACAACAGCAGCAGCAGCTCACCGGGCCCCCGCAGCTACAGAAACAGCAGCAACAAAACGACCCACAAACATCACCACAACCTCCCTGGGAGGCCCCGGCCTGCGGAGCCCCCCGTCCCCCACCCTGCACACCTCTTCTGCGTGGAGACGTCCTTATAACGGGTCTGGGAGGGAGGGAAGGGCTGAGGACATTTCCATCCAGTCTCCCTCCAAACTAGCTCTGAAAAAAGGAACGGGGGGGGGCTCCCCTCAACCCCACCAAGCCTCCCCCCCCATCTGATCCCTGAACAGTCAGGGTGGGGCTGGGACCCCCAGCAAACCCAGAACAGCTTCAGACTCAGTGTTCATTCTGACCCCCCCACCCTGCCAAGCGCACTGCTCCACCCGCCCTGATGACTTCACCCCCGCCCCTCTCTGCTGCCCCCCCATTAATGTCCTGCTCTACAGGTTTCTGTCTCGTTCCATTTCTCTGCTTTGTGTTTCGTCTTTTCTCATAAAACATACATGAACAGAAATGAGAAAAATCCGAGAAACTGAACTGAAAGTCCCCCACCCCCCTCTCCTTTTTGTCTGTTTGGTTCAATGATCTTGACCTACTGTGCCCCCCCCACCCCCTCCGGATCGGTGCAGCATTAACCCTTTAAGATGCTCAGGCCGTGTCCCTTTAAGACTGCCCTGTTCTCACTGCTCCCCCTGATTCCTTGTTTCATGGATTCTGGATCCGGTTCTGTTCTGCGGAAGGAAAGAACATCCGGCTCCTTTTATCCAAAGGTGCGACGCTCTTAACCTGGATTGTTGTGAAATCTGAGTTTTCAGTCTCACAACAAATCCATCTTGAAAGACTGCCGCTAACATGTCCGTCTCCTAACCACCGGCGAGTTGGACCAATGACATGCCAGCAGTGTTTTTGGGGGCGGGGCATTTAGGAATGACAACAGTCAGAAGGGCCTAGGCTGGGGACTAAAATAGCTACGCTGGAGGACTCACCCCTCGTTTCTGCGATTTTAGCTAAAATAGCGACAATTTCTCGTGAAAAAAGGAGCAGAGAAGCACTTTGTGCATTTCTAGATGGGAAAGTCTGTGCTTTTCTTCCGACAGCATTTGGAAAAGGTGTGATTTATCAGCTTGCGTTTCGTTTTGCGGCTACGATTGGCTGAGAGCATTTTATGGAAGGCGGGCACTAGCTGGCACGTCACCCAATCAGCTGGAAGCATTGTACTAAACGTCCCTCCGTTTCACAGACAGACTGAGCAGCAGCCATGATTGATAGATTGAATTCAATCACATCCATCCTGCTGCTGCCAGGTTATGAAAGTCTCCCAGTACAACCAGTGAGAGCTCCTGTTCGACCATTAGAAAGGCTTCATTTGGAGTCTGTTCATAGCAAAATGAGTCCCTCCGATTTAGGACATACTTTATGCTTCATTTATATGAAGAAGCATTAATGAAACTTAAAACGTGTTTCATTTATAAATGCTAGCATTACTTTAATAGAGCCAGTTAGACTCCGCCCCCCAGGCTTTAACCCTCCCCCCTGGTTCCAGTATTCAGGTGAATCTCAAGGTGGTCCTTTGCCTCTCAGCGCCTCTCAAATATTTCCCAAATTCTAGTCTCCAGGTGGGAAAGAGCTCAGCAGCCAAACGGCGACATCTGAGCACCCATAAGATCCTCCAACCATCACACCCTCCAACCATCAGACCCTCCAACCATCAGACCCTCCGACCATCAGACCCTCCAACCATCAGACACTCCGACCATCAGACCATCAGACCCTCCAACCATCAGACCCTCCGACCATCAGACCCTCCGACCATCAGACCATCAGACCCTCCAACCATCAGACCCTCCAACCATCAGATCCTCCAACCATCAGACCCTCCAACCATCAGACCCTCCGACCATCAGACCCTCCAACCATCAGACCCTCCAACCATCAGACCCTCCGACCATCAGACCCTCCAACCATCATATCCTCCGACCATCAGACCCTCCGACCATCAGACCTTCAGACCATCAGACCCTCCAACCATCATATCCTCCAACGATCAGACCCTCCGACCATCAGACCTTCAGACCCTCCAACCATCAGTCCATCAGACTGAGACCATCAGACCCTACGACCATCAGACCCTTCAACCATCAGACCCTCCAACCATCAGACCATCAGACCCTCCAACCATCATATCCTCCGACCATCAGACCCTCCGACCATCAGACCCTCCAACCATCAGACCATCAGACCCTCCAACCATCAGACCATCAGACCCTCCAACCATCAGACCATCAGACCCTCCAACCATCATATCCTCCGACCATCAGACCCTCCGACCATCAGACCCTCCGACCATCAGACCCTCCAACCATCAGACCATCAGACCCTCCAACCATCATATCCTCCGACCATCAGACCCTCCGACCATCAGACCTTCAGACCCTCCAACCATCAGTCCATCAGACTGAGACCATCAGACCCTACGACCATCAGACCCTCCGACCATCAGACCCTTCAACCATCAGACCCTCCAACCATCAGACCATCAGACCCTCCAACCATCATATCCTCCGACCATCAGACCCTCCGACCATCAGACCCTCCGACCATCAGACCCTCCAACCATAAGACCCTCCAACCATCAGACCCTCCAACCATCAGACCCTCCAACCATCAGACCATCAGACCCTCCAACCATCAGACCATCAGACCCTCCAACCATCAGACCCTCCAACCATCAGACCCTCCAACCATCAGACCCTCCAACCATCAGACCATCAGTCCATCAGACCATCAGACCCTCCAACCATCAGACCATCTGACCATCAGTCCATCAGACTGAGACCATCAGACCGACCCCTGCGGTGCAGAGCTCTCCTCCCCATGAAGCGTCCCTCAGCATCCCACACTCACCAGCGTCCTCCATGTTTCCTTGGAGCGGGACTTTGGTGAACAATGCAAACCTTTTAACCCCCCCCCCACCCAGAGCAAGTCAGACAATATGCAACAGACTGCCCTGTCCGCACTCAGACACAGCCAGTCACACGTCTGTCCTGCCTGTTGATTTCCAGGCTGTTTGCAGATCTCTGGAAACACCCTTAGCTGTAGAGAACTCATCATCTTCTTCATCATCATCATGGCTGACCCGCCGGAGCGGGCGGTGACTCTGTATTGGTCCGTCTGTTTTTGAAGCATGCATTTGGTATCATTAATGTCACTCTGTGTTGGTAAATCATTTAGGCTACTGTCACTCTGTGTGCTTTGATCTCTCCACGCCTGCTTTCTTCCTCTTTGCTCTCACGCAGAGACACACTTATATTTACCTCCCTTCCAGTTGGATCTGTTGCAGCGCCTCTGAGCGACGCCGGCTGACCCTGACAATGTGCAGCGGCGTATATTTGACTGCAGCTCCGGCCTCCGTTGCTCAGCCATCGATCCACGCGACCATCCAGCCACAGTTTCACATCCGGAAAAAAACACAATGTGAAAAAGAATATATTTGATGAAATTATAAAGTGTAGAACTGCACCACGACTGTACAGATCGCCCAAATGTGCATCTATGATTTACAGGTACTATGTTCCTGTTACACTTTTTTATTTTTATTTATTTAATTCCTTTTGCTTTTCTGAAAGAGAGGAACAACAACATGGAAGCGCTTGTATATTCTGATTCATTTCTCTCCACTGGTGCTCCCGCTGATGGAAGACGGTTGCACACCCCCCTGAGCATAACCTGAGGGCTGTGTTTTCTGTCCACCGAACAACCCCCCCCGAGAAACCTCATGTCTTCAGAGACACCACCTCTGTGAGTAGAGGACGTCAGCCTGAGGGACCTGACCCTGCAGAGGAACGTAGAGCTAGAGTCTGCAGAAGTGCACTGCGCCCTCGCATTGTTTAGGCTGCGCTCTTAGATCTGCCGCCAGTGTTTACTGCCATGGTAGGCGGGGTCAGAGCGAAGCTAATCCATCGTTAATCCATCGCACACGCTGCTGTAAATATCAGCCATCGATCGGCTCTCTTCTGGCACAACGCGGCGCTGTTCCGCAGACAGAAAATACAGCCTTAACTGTGCTAAAACAACTGAAAAAAGACCAAAAAAAGTTAAAAAACAAAAGCAAAACAAAAATATCTAAAGACTATTGAATATATTAAAGAGTTACCTGCCTGTTATTTAAGCGAATAAATATCTATATATGAGAAAGAACACACCTGTATACTGTAGACTAAATCTGTATTGAAATCTAAGAGAATTTAATGGGAAATAAATCCAACACCTTTTGTCTGTATGAAAGAAAAAAAACCCATCAAAGTATTCTACAATAATAACTTTGACAAACTCTGTTTGGTCTTGTGTTGTTTGTTCAGAATTTTCCTACAGGAATATGTTCCTACATTCATGCTTTCCAGAACTTTCTGCCACTTTTAGTTTTTTTTCCTCCAGATACAGAGCTGTGAAATATGATCACTTCTGTTCAAACTTTCTTGTCACACCTTGATGTGTCTTAAAATCAAAGATAACTTGAGTAAATATTAAAAAACAGCTCATTCATTGGGGAAAAACAAATAACCACCTTTGACAATAAAAAAAATCCCGCTGATTTCCTTCTGTTTTGGAGGATTTGGATAATTTTTCTTTGCGGAATTGTTTCAATTTCTGCACTTATGAGGGTTTTGCTTTATCTTTTTACTTCTGCATAACCAAATTGCAAACTAAAGGGCGACTCACCCCCTTATTGCCTCTTTTTGCTAATAAACGGTATAAATGGTTTGTCTTACATTTCCCCGGCATTAATTGGAGGAGATCCTGCTTTTGAAATGTGTCGTTTGCTCTAATCCATGCCCTATAGACTGCAGCTCCAACATGAGTGAATGGAAGTAACGGAATTAGGTTAATTCAACGCAACTAATTTATGACAGTTTAACTTGTAGGCGTATAATTACTATAAGATTAGAATTGAATCTCCACATTTTAAAATGTTCTTAATGAAAACAATGTGGTTTGTCCAGAAATGACATATAGAAAAATAAATTCTTCCTTTTAAGCAGGGCTCCGTTTCACGAAGCAGGTTTAATTATGTTTTCTAAAATCATTCCCTAGGTCCATAAGGTTTTTAAACCTAATGTTTTAGGTTTAAAAACATTAAGGTTTTAAAACAAACGCTGCATGTCCGTTAGATGAGGAATTTATTAAAGAATGATCGGCATTAATTCACAGAGAATTAAATATTTATAGGGAGAGGATTCTACATCTCAGTGACAGGATATGAGATTACTGGTTTTTGGTTTGTTTAATACGAGCGAGATGCGGGTCATTTTATTTTTATTTAGTTATAATCGCAGCACATGAAGAACTGCTGAGATTATTTTCAGATTACACATAAATAGATTAATTAATTCCACGGGAAAATTAATTACTTTAGGGTTAGGATTAGGATTCACTGGTGATAACCCACTGAGCCTACTGGCACTGAAGCCATTCTATGGGACTGATAGCCGCTAATAACAACCATTTATTGGGATGATAACATCTGAAGCAGCTGCAGACACTTAGTATTTACTGTGTAAAAGAGACTGAATCAAACTGAATTAGATAATAAACAGGTTCTATATATTAGAACAACATTTTTATTCTTCATCCTCACCTGCTGACAGATGATTTCACCTAACGTAGGGGGACAGGTGGCCTAGGGCATAGAGCCTGGAATCCTGAGGTTCTGAGTTTAAGTCCCACTCCAACAGACTGCCACTCTGGGTCCCCGAGCAAGACCCTTAACCCCACACTGCTCCCCGGGCGCCGCACAATGGCAGCCCGCTGCTCCCTAAGGGGATTGGTTAAATGCAGAGAGTGAATTTCTCCATTGTGAAACAATAAAGTTCAATTTATTTTTATTAAAAATGTTATCTGGTTGATCTGGATCTATACAGAGACCTAAGATGACATGATGTGAATTGGAGCTTTAGTAAAAAACTGAAATGAATTGAAAGGCTGCTGGGAAGCAGGTATTTCTCACTGTGGAACTGGTTCCCAGCCTTTGACCAGGCAAGACTTTGGTGCAAGTAATACGAATAGTTGTAAGTGCCAATGTATATTTTAGAACTTTAAAATTTGAAAGTATTTGTCACATGTGTAACAACCAATTATATTATAACATTAAAAAATCATAACAACCAAACTATTTTACTACTGATACTTGGCAGGTTAGAAAACCCTCCCTATATCTCAGAAAAACAATCATTAAAATGTGCCAAACACCTGCCTGCTCCACTCATTTATTGACACTATCTGCTCACATATCTGACTGATGTCTACACTGTGAAGGATTGTCTGGTGGACATGGCGCACTGCAACAGTATTAAGGGTCAGTGTTGATCTGAGCCATGTTTTTAGCCTCCTGAGAGCTCTGAAAGTCCTCTCTGCCTCAGCAGAAGACACAGGGTTTAGCAAAAGGAAGAGAAAAGTGTTTCAACTTGATTAAACAAACTTCTCACCTCTGTTGTCATTCCTCTGAGTAATTTGACCACTTCACTGGAGTTGTATGTAAACTTGGAGTGAAAAGCATTGAGCATAAAGAATTGTGAGAAAAAAGAAATGTGAGATGAAAGTCAGAATTCTGAGATTAATATTAATGAGTGCTGCTGTGCTTCATCTCTCCTCCAATCATGTAGCCGCTGTGTATGTGGTGAATAGCGACCGCCAATCATATTCTATCATAAAGTGACAGACCTGGAGCCATGGACATAGGATCCAATGATGTTATATCAGTAGGCGGGACTCAAGAGCAGCCGGATAGCGAGACAAAAGCACTAACTCTCTGAACACACACAGGGGGGCGTGTCCTGAGGTTACTGTTGATGGCTAAAGTAAATGATCCGAACACAAATGTACAAATTATTGGTGGAGACTGACCCCACCCATTCCAAAGTTGGTGGGGACATGTCCACACCAGTCCTTCAGACAGTTACACCAGTTAAGTAGAACCAGTAAAGGGATAACCGGGACCAGTAAAGTGATAACCGGGACCAATAAAATGATAACCGGGACCACTA